AGATGACCTCTTGAGGTCCCTTCCAACTCTGATATTCTATGATTCTATGATTCTTGAACCTGCATTCTGTGGTCTATCTCCTCCCCCTGCTACCTGCAGCCCCCTGGTGACAGCCAAGTTTTACTGCAACCTGAAGCTCCATTCCCGCCAGGAGATTGCCCAGTGGCAGCAGGTGGTACTGCGCCTTGCCATGCATCAGGAAGGAAGGATGGTGATAGCCGAGACCTGACTTCAATTCCCTGCTCCCCTGCAGACTTCTTGTGTGACCGTTGCTAGTCACTTAGTCTGTCTGTGTCTGAATCCCCTCATCTGTACAATAGGATAATAGCACTGCTCTCCCTCAGAAGGGTGTTGTGGTTACAGCTGGTCAGCACTTTTCTGCTGAAATATTTTTCCATTGAAGAATGTGGATTTGTCCAAACTGAAACTGTTTGCAGGGAAAGGTCGGTTTCAGTGAATCTCTTGATTTAAAGAAAATGGAAAAAGTTTCAAAATTTGTCCTTTGTCAAAATTAAAAGTTTCAAAACATTTTGGTCATTTACCCTAAAAAAAGGGGGGGGAGGAGGTGTTAAAAAATAAACAAGCTCCAGATCAAAAAGAAAAATTTCAAAATTATCAAAAGGAAACATTTCAACTGACCCAACCGGAATATTTTTTCAGATGATCAATTCACAAAAGTTTTCCTGGTTTTGACTTTTGGCCAGATTCACGATGGGAAAACTTTTCAAAGTCTCAAAGACTCATGTTTGTTGCCAGCCAGCTCTAGCTGTGAGGATAAATATATTAAACATTGTGATGTGCCTAGATACTATAGTGATGGGTGCCAGATAAATACCCATGATAGGTCAGTTCCTCATATTACCTAGCAGTGACATTACGGGTGGAGTAGAGCCCTCTTTGGTGTCACTGGAAAATTTTCACAATATTTTAAATTTTTATCAATAAAACAAAAGTTTTCATTTAGTTTCCATTTTGGGGTATGTTTGTTTTTTATTTCCTCTTTTTTTCCCCCCTTTTGCTTTTTTTCCCCACTGGAAAATGGGGGGAAAGTAGAAAAAAGGGTCCAAAATACTGAAAAAATTGACAAATTTAGAAAGAAATGGTTATTTTTCAGCAACCCCCCCACCCAAAAAAAATCCTGAAAACTAAAATAAAATGTTTGCTTTCGTTGCAAATTTTTGAAGGAATTTTGTGAGGGTGGGGGGGAGCCATTTTTCATAGAAAACAAATTTAAGACATCAAATCTTCAACTCTCTCTATTCATACGTTATCCTCTTAGTCTTGCCATTGCCCTGGTTTGCTGAAACACTTCTAGGTATGAAATTCCTGAGCTTTCATATTTCTTTGTTCATTATTTGCATTACTGTAATGCCCTGAAGGCCCAGTCAGTGGGCACAACCCCATTGTCCCAGGTGCTGAACAAAAAGACAGTCGCTGCCCCAAACAGCTTATAATCTAAGGACAAGACAAGCAGCAAAAGGTGTATAGGGGGAACACAGGGAAGCAGCGAGACAATATTGGTCAGCATGATAGGCAATCGTCTCTGCACACCTGCAGCCTAACCGTCGTCAGGTTTTTTCGTAAGCCACACAGCAAAGGAGAGTTAGAAGAAGGACAATGAGGTACCTTTGCTGATGTTTACTGGGGAACTCCTCCCAGGTATGAGGGGCAGCAGGATAGAATGCACAAAGATGCTTGTTTGAAAATTTAGCAAGCGGGCAACGGAGGCAGGTATCCTGGGCCATTCGGAGTTGGGAGTCGGCACTGTGCTAGTGAATGACAGATGGGATAGGTATGGTGCAGTAGGGCGTGAATGGCTTTGAAAGTGAAGATGAGTAGTTTATGTATGATGTGATGAAGAATGGGGAGCCAGTGGAGGGCTACAAAGAGAGGTGACATGGACAAAGCGATGAGACAGGGAAATGATCTTTGCAGGAGTGATTTGAATGGATGTAAGTGGAGCAAGATTGCATTTGCCAAGGCCGAAGAAGAGGATGTTGCAGTAATCAAGATGCAAGATTATGAGAACCAGGATAAGAGATTTGTTTATTCTACTTGCTTAAAGTTTGTCTCATTCTGGCATCTAGTGAGAAAAGCAGGATGGAAGGGGAATGGATCAGAAAGGATAAGGGTGAGCTAACCTACCAGGAGTAGATGAAGCAGATGAAATAGGGCAAAGACACCACAAGCTGCAGCCAGCGCCAACTGGGGATGGCGTAAGCCACCCCAGCCAGAATGCACTGCCCAATTGTGTAGCAGTATCCAAACATGGTGACCACAACGGCCCGTGTGCGGGTGGGTGTCCATTCCACAGCTGGGGAGAGACACACACAAAGGAAAAATAATCTCTCTGTCCTTGGGCTGGTGACGACCTGTGGTGAGAACAAGGATGAGCGGAGGCAGCAGGAACATGTACAAACAGCTTTCCCCTGGCTCTTTGAGGCGGAGATGAAATAGCTCCCCAGAACCTGCATTCCCTGAGCCATGCCTCCTTCCCCTGCTAGTTGCATCCCACCTAGTGGTAGTAGGTAGTACTGCACCCTGTTGGAGGCACTCCATTCCCCCTCCCCATGGCAGCAGCCAGTATTGCACCCTGCAGCAACTCCAGTCCCCCAGTGGCAGCAAGCAATACTGTACTCTGCAGGGCTACAGCACCAGTCCCCCAGTGGCAGCAAGCGGTACTGCCCTTTGCAGGATTGCAAACACTCCAGAAGACCCCCCCCCCCCCCAAACAGTAGCAGGCTGTACTGTATCCTGCAGGGTTGCAGCAGCTCCAGCATCCCACAATGGCACACTTATGCACCCTGAAGTACATCAGCCACAATACACAGCTGTTATGTAATTGAATAAGCTGAGTCCCATTAGCCTCTGATACCCAACTGCCCCTGGATCCTTCAGTTCCTAGAGGACCTGTATACATTGAATAGTGCAGGGACTTACTAGTAATGAGGAGGGCATTCTGTAGCTCCTGGCTGATGCACATGGCCTGTGCCTGTTCTGTAGAAGATGTATTGTGGAATCTCTGTTCTGTTGTGAATCATCGTCATCTGATGACGGCATTCCACTCTAATAGCTTCCATTCCATTCTTGGGGACCTGCATGCTATTGGAAGCTGCCCTGTTTTGTGGCACCTCCTGTGCTCTGGCACTGCAGAAGCACACGGAGGTGCGATTGTTCCAGAGAACTCAGTTCTCGTTTAGGTACCACATTCTCAGAAGAGGGTAGGCCCAGATTTCAAGGTGCAAAATACCTCCTAAATAACGTACTCAGGTCTTTCTCAGCTGTGGCAATCAGTGTCCCAAAGGGAGCTCCTGAGTGCTTTGGTAAATCCAGGTTGGAGTTGGACCTAGGACTTTTGGAAAATCTACCTCCCAATTTTTGGTGCTGAGACCTTGGACATCCCACCCATGGGTGTGTGCTTCTTGTCTCTCTGTGCTCCCACCACAGAGTAATTTATCAGCAGCGGGAACAAGGCACCTCCGTCCATCCCCAGTAACCAGCTCATCTTGTGTCTGGGATGGCAGGCGCCAGACACACTTACACAGAGAGACACCGTTCATCACAATGCCCGAGAAGGCCATTCCGGTCAGGAAACGGAAGATGCAGTAGGCAGTGAAGCTGAGCGAGAAGGCAGTGCTGGTGCCCGTGACAGCCATCTGCAAGTAGCACCAGATCAAGGGAGACCTGCGGCCAAACCTGAGCCAAAAAGAACCAAGAGAACAGGTGAGGGAAACCCAGGATACTGAAGCAAGTGTGTTCAGAGTAGGAGTTAAATGTGGTGGAAGGAACTATTGGTGCCTTAGGGTTACCATTTGTTCGGATTCCCCCGGACATGTCCGGCTTTGAGCTAAAACTAGCGTCCGGGGGGAATTTGTAAATGTTCGGACTTCCCCCCCGTGCCCATGCAGAGCGCGCGCGGCTAACAGGGCAGCTGGTCGGATGGTGCCACTTACATGGGGCTCTGACAGCCAGAGAGAGCCCCTCCTCCGCTTCCCCTACAGCAGAGATCACTCCCTCCATTTGCAGATCGCCTCTGGCAGTCTGGAGCTCGTCCCCCGCTCCCCAGCGTGCCGGGACGAACAGCTCCGGCCGTTCCTGAGCAAGTTCACTGAGACATTAGGTGAAGGCCAACAACAAGGGGGCCAGGGGGTCGGAGAAGGGGCAGGGAGATTC